ATTTAAAAAAGAGCAGACTGTCTATGTAGTCATAGATCAGTTGAGAAGTGGAAAGAAAAAGAAAAATGTGCCTAACCTAGACTTCAGATATGTCCCAAGCCAGCCTTGCATTTTGAGAGTCAGGGATGGGGATCCTCTCACTATTCAAAGCCCTTTGAGATAGCAGCAGTGGAAGTGCTCTGTACCCAAGGTGCTCAGTAGAATATGCTGAGCCCCTAGTGTGTGCTAGTAGAAGCAAGAGCTAAAGCTTTAGTTTACGACTTTATAATGAAGACTTTATAATGAAGCCACAAATGGCCAATAGTTATGATTGCAGAAAGCAGAGCCATCAGTCATTTTTGTTAGGGTTTCTGTATTGATGAACAATGAAGGCAATATTCTTATCTCAGTTTTTCAGAACTGATTAGAATTAGATATGAGATTTCATTCCTATAAAATAAAATCTTTATATATATATATAAATATATATATATTTCATAGAGAATCCCTGAGAAATTTCTTTGTAGACGCATGTCTGGATGGTAAAAGAACTGAGTCTAAAATATAGTCAGTGTTACAAATGACAGGACATGTGACTCTGCAAAGGTTGGTTCTGGAAGTGGAATAAATCTTTAGTGGTGGACTTTTAGACTCTCAGGGATCAGTCAAAGGGGAACAACTTTTTGTCAATGGCGTATTCCCTGCATTCCTTAAATCACAGCTGGGAAGGGTTGAATTCAATACTTATGGGGCCTGCTCTGCCCAGAGGCATATTTATAATCTTCCCAATATCTTGCTGACATTTGTGTAAATATCAGTGTGCAAATATCAGCCACAACCAGCTTCCTGTGCTTTTCAAAACTACCTGTGACTAATCCGGGCTTTGAGAATAATAAGTATTGTGGGATCTGGGTATTGTTGCCTTCGTAGGCTTCTTCCTCCAGACATATAAAAATAAATAATAAATTACAATCACATTTCACTACTGCATGTGAAAACAAATACATTCATGTTATACAGTAAAAATATTTTCTTAACCTAAAATTTCATTGCTTTTCTCCTCTGTGTTTAAAAGAAAGGAAAACATTTTCATGGGCTCCTATATGTTGCATGAGCTTCCATTGCCTGAAGGATAAGTTGACCCTTAAGGGAAGACTTTTTATTTATCACAAGCTAAAATGGCCTATTCTTTTATGCAAAAATTGAAAAACATGTACTTTTACTTAGCTGATGTTCAGTAAATATTAATTGACTAAAATAGTCAGAGATATTAGACTTCTCTTTAGCAAATAAGACTAATTCTCTGCCTCCCCTCCCTCCATGTCCTTTTTGAATCTCTTTGAGTTTGTTCCTGACAGTTTGGCCCACAGACCAGAGGGCTGGTGCTACTGGAAATTTGGCAGAAATGTAGTATCTGCCGCTCTCTAATACTAAATCACAATCAGTATTTTAACAAGTCTCCAGATAAAACATGTGCACATCACTCTGAAGCACGGTTCACTTGTGATTCCAACCAGATCATTCAACACCAGGAGTCATGAGTGGGCTGATTTCCATCCATGACATTGGGGGCTGGCTTTTGCCCTTCTCCTGTGTGACAAATTCAGTTCCTTTAGCTCAGCTGTTCCCAACCGTGGTACTTAATTGTGGTGTCAACTTGAATGGATTAAGACAAGCCTTTCAGATTAGTGGAGCATGGTTTTGGTGTGTCTTGATGATTGAGTCGTAAGCTGCAAATGGAGAGGGAAAACCTACTGTGGGTTTTTCTATTGGGTTATGTCTAGATGAAATAAAAAGAGAAAGAGCCCCTTTTGCTGTTTGGAGCTCAGGTCTTCACCACCACCTTTAGATATTTGTCTCTTGAGTTTTAGTGCTGATTTTTTAACCTTTTAATGCAGACTTTTTGGCCTTTTGATATAGACTTGTACTGCACTTTGTAGTGAGCTCTAGGCTTTTACCTTTAACTCGATCCTTTGATTATCTAGTGCACAAATCGCATATATATATTTATATATATGTATATATATATAAATTACATATATATATGTAATTTTAAAAAATCTCCGATTCCTTTGATTCTGTAGACAGCCATTCTAAGCTATTTATCTACTTCATAAATTATCTATCTATCTCAGCTTAAAAACACCTGAAACCAACCATCCCCTGAAGATTCTGAAATAACTGGTTTGGTTGGGATCCTGAGGTTCAGTTTTTATAAAGCTCTCCATGTGGTGCTTATGCATCATAGCCAGAATTAGAATGAGTATGAGCCTTTCCCTGAGAGCTGTGTATCCTGATTTTGATCATGACAGCCTCTTTTTTTTCCTGGGTCTTCCAACCTTCCTAGGCTGAGCAACCACATATACAATTTAGAACTACTGACAACTTCTACTGATGACCTTGGAACTCTGAAGTATCCTCCTAACCCTGGGTTCTGGAATACTGACTGCCACCATTTCCTGCATCCTTGTTTCATATTCTGCAATCACTGTTATTCAGTCTTTACAATGATGGAATATACTATTCTTATTCTTATTTTACAGAGAAGGAAGGCTTAGAAAGTTTGGCTCTTCCCAAGGCCAGCCTATTTCTAATTCTAAGGCTTGCCTATCCTACACTATGTATGCTACCTTCTAATATTATGCTTTCTCTTAAGAAATATTGGTGATTTCTTAACTCATACGGCCAAAATCAGATTTATAATCATTCATTTTTTGAGAATTATTAGCAAAAGAACTAAAGGATAGGAAAGAATTAAACAGACAATACAATTAGACTAGTTATAATCTATCAAAGTTTGAAAATGGTGACATACATTTTTCCTCCCTGAATAACTGATGTAAAAGTTTGATTAAAGTACAAATATTAAATACTCCAGTGGTGCTCTGTGCCAGGACTGTGGAGATTACCAGGGTAAAGGGCAGTCTTTGTCCTTGAAATGGTAAGTTGAGGAGAGGACAAGAACTTGTAATAGTCCAACATATGACAGTCAGTATAATCAGGGGCTGTGCAGTGTGATAAAGTCATGCTTCTTCATCGGAGTTCAGAGGGTGGCAGAAACCAGGACAATGGAGAAAGGATTTATGGAGTTGAAGTCCAAGGATGAAGGGAGATTGAATCAATTAGGACAGAGTTGAGCTGAGACAGCAGCATAAACTCATTAGGAAGCTGGGATTTTCCATCAGAATAACCCACCTGCTTTCTTGCTGGCTGACTTGTCCTTGGCTGTGGACTGAGAATATGTGGTCTTTGTCTGACATCTAAACAAATGCTGTCCCAGCGCAGCTGAGCATTGTGATATCCCCAGTGACCTATATCTACAGCAGTGAAATCAGAGGCACAGGGTTATTTACACAATGGATGGCTCCCTGCCTCAGCGTTCACCGGCCCCTTTTAAGGTTGCCAGCACTTGCACTTCGCTTAATGTTTGAACCTAGAGAAATTGAAAGCCAAGTACTTATTTAAATATTGATCAAGCTCAGCCCTTGGGAGAAGGCAAGAAACCCGCAGCTAGTAAGGTTACAAGTGCTCACATACGATCATGGAGACGGTTTTACAATTACTAGTTTTGCTGGATGATTTCTTTTTTGCACAGAAGAGGTTTGGGGTAACTTCTTGGGATAAAATCTCATATTGCCTAATGGGGAAAAAAGTTTAAAAAAGAGAAGAAGAAACCCCTCCAGAGATTGAAAACTGGTGAGGTGAAAAGGAGAACAACAAAGGCCTCTAACGCACTGATTTTTTTTTTTTTGCCTGCTTCGAAATCATTTTTCTGTTGTATGTTGATTCAATTATCCTCCAGCAGAAATTTTAATGTTGTACTACTTTGTTTGAAAATAACGAATCTTGAGTTTTGGTACCGGGCAGGAACTTCTTTGGGCTGGGAGCTTTGTGGGATAGAATCAGCTGTGCAGAAAATCCAAGTCTGACAGCAGCACCACTGTCCAGTCTCTTTTGTCAAGGGCCAGTGGCAGCCTTTGGCTGGGAACAGAGCTAGAGACCTTCGACACCTCCTCTTTGCTTCCTCAGGCTCTGTATCAGTAAAGTGGGCTGGGAAAACAGCCAGGGGCGCAGAATGGGTGGTCAGGTGGGAAGGCTGCCTGTCCCTCTATGGTGGTGGTGCCCTGGTGGCCAGCTTGAGGGGGGGGCACATCTCTGCCCGGGGCAACTGGTCTTGTGGGGCACGGTGATGAGGGATAAAGCAGAAACTCGAGGAAATTAGGGAAAAAAGGGCAATTTTATCTTTACCTTTAAAGTTTGGTGAGAAGCATTGAGAAGCATTTATGGAGGTCTGGTTGATGAGACGCTGGTTGATGGAGACCCAGGGTGACTGAGACCCAGTGGGACAATGTGTTGGAGAATAGCAGCCTTGTTCACTGTAAAAGTGGTTACGATTTCCACAGACTTTTGAATCATGCCGACTTTAGCCACTTGCGTGCATACTCACGAAGAGCCGCAACTTGCAAAGCTCAGGGCCAGGGGCCATCAGTCTCACGAAGGCGTCTGCAGGTTTTCAAATAATGCCTCCCATTGTAATAGACCTGGGCCGTATTATGTCGCGGGTGTGGTGGCTTTTGGCCGAGCCTAGCCCGAGCCTCCCTCGGGCTTGGCACAGCTCCTCTCTAGGGTGGACCGGTCAGCCCCTTCCTCCCGCGGCGCCAAGGCGTGGGGGGTTCCTGGGGTGCGCGGGCGCCGCCACAAGGGTGCAGCCTGGCCTCGCTCGGCTGCAGGCCCGCGCCAGCCCCGGCGCGTCCCGGAGCCTCGTCGGCCGGGGGAGGGGAGCCCGGGCGACCGGCCGCGCCCGGCGGCGGGAGGGGCTGGCGGAGGCCACGGCGCGGAGCGGCTTCAGGTTTCCAGCAGGAGCCGGTGCCGGGCGCGGCGGGCGGGCCTGGCCATGTGACACGAGCCAGCCGGGGAGGCGGGGGACCCAGTGGCCGCGGGCAGCGAGGGGGGCAACACCAGAGCGACGCCGAGAGCGGCCCGGACCCCGCAGCTCCGCCCCCTCTGCCCGGCCCAACTAGGCTGCCGCCGGGCGTCTGCAGCTGGCGGAGAGGCGTCCCGGCTGCGGGCGGCTCTGGGACCGAAGGCGCGTTTCGGGGCGCCGGGGAGCAGCGCCTGGCCTGAGCTCCAGAAGCCGCGGGGCTCCAGCTGCAGGTAAATGGCTCTCAGGGTGCAGCCTCCGCGGTCGCTGCAGCCCAGAGCGGAAAAAGTTTGCCTGTCTGGGTCCGTAGGGTGCAGACTTTCTCCAGCGTTCCCGAGGACGCTGGGGTCCACAGAAGTGGACCTGGGTCGCTGCAGTGGGCTGGGCGGCCAGGGGGTGGGCGCCGCCTCCTGCCTCCATGAGGGCGCAACAAGTGCAGCGAGCTCTGCAGCCCCGCGTCGAGCAGCTGCAGAGCGCTGGGTCGCGGGGCGACTGGAGCGCACGGAGGAGGCTGTGATGGCGACCCCTGTCGTCCGCCTCTGCTGCACTGGAGGACTGGGGCTGGGGGCTCGAATCGGGTCCTAAAAGGAGCCTGGGAAGTTTACACGGCACGTCTGTGGCAAAGGGAGAGCCTGGAAGCTGGCGGCCCGCCCTTCTATCGGTGGCTGTGCTCTGGGGTGCAGGGTGCATGGAGCGATCCCCAGTGCAGACCAACCTCAGGCTCAGGACGGGAGCGCTGACATTTATTTCATGTAGAAACATTTGCTGTGTTTTAAAAAGCATTTGTGCACCTCTTGATTAGGAGCAGCATCAGAATTCAGTAGCACTGGTTGCGCTTTTTTTTATGGATTTGTTTTCCCTTGCAATGTGTGGAGTGTGGATGGTGATACCCTAACGGGGCTTCCAAAAAGTCGGAATAACTGGCCTAGACTGCCTGGGAAAAATACTTGTCTGGCCAGGACTGTGTGAAACTGGTGTTCAAGCAGCCCAGGAAACGCATCTCTGGTCTCCTGGTTGGATTTCCAAGAGAGTCCACCTTAGGGGTCCACAGCCCCCCCCCCCCCCCCCGCCCCACTTTGGCTACAGCTGGGTGGGACTAGGAAGGGGGCTACGTCTGTCCAGCCTTTCTTTCCCTGACCACTGCTTAACTTTCAGTGCCACAGATCAGGGGGTTTGGAATCTTACCTCTAGACCATGCTGCTCTGCAAAGAAATAGGAAAACAAGGAAGCTGTTTATAAAGCGCTGGTCGTTTGAGGGCCCTTATGGTCCTCGGTTTTCTGAAGTTCTGTCCTCTGGTGTTTCTAGGCGCTGAAGCTGTCCAGGTCAGCACAATCTTGTTTTCAGAGCAGAAACAAATCAGACTGGCCGCTGTCAGATTCTGTCCCTGTCATATCCACTTTGCACATGACCATTCAAGCAGAGTGATTATTTCACCTGGAAAAGTTTCCATGTCTTTTCCCTGGGTTTTTAATAAAAAAGGTTAATGCTAACAGTATTTGGTCTAACTTTAATTAATGGCCAAGCTAACCTCTTTGGAATATTTGGAGGAAAGGGAAGGAACGCTGTAAATGTCTTTGGAATTTTTAATGCAACTAGTGTTTCAGTGTAGTTTTCAGAGATGGGCTTTCTATAGGATTATGTGTGCTAGTTAATTTTGGTTAAATAAATAGGACCACAGATAGCATCACACCTGCTATTTAGTGGTTAGGGAAACTGAGGCACAGAGCTAGTTGCTGGGCTTGTGACTCAGATGGAGTGGCCTGGCTATGGGAAATGGAGAACAGAGAATCAGTGTTTGTCCTTTGGTTTTGAGTGTTTTCTTCCTTATCAAAAGCACATAATCTTGCCAATCAAGAGCAGGTTATGTAACAGATGTTTCACTAGACTTCCCTGTGAAGTGCCGCTGTCCTCTAGGCATTAAGAAATACTCAAAGGTAAACAGGTAACAGTAGTGGGTAAGTTTCTATGAAATTGCACCCATGGCTCTTCTTGGATTTCACATTTTTTTTCTTTCTAAGTTATGTAAATTTGAAAAGTTTGAAATATTTTCTGATCGTGTTGTCAGAAGAAATTATCCTTGTGGTTAAGACTTAAATTGGTGAGGAATTTCATGTGACTCTGACTAAGTCTTTTTTAATATACCTCAAGAGAAAGGAGGAAATGTGTTCTAAGAGGGTGTTAAAGCAAATAGCAGACTATACTGTTACTTTTATCCTGAGCGCTCTGTACGAAATTGGTCACCACCCTATGATCTTAACTGTAACTTCAGTGACCAAATGTTGACTCCAACAAATAAGACTGATGATAAAAGTGTTGGAAAACCCTTGCCCTACTGGGATATAGCTAAAATGGTTCTGAATAGAGCATAAATTACTTTCAGACTCCCAGGCTGCCTATAATTTTATTATGCTTTAATTTGCTGATCTGATATGACAGATCTGATTTATGTAGGTTTGGTTTAATTGCATTTATGTTAGTGTTGCTTTTAGGGGAACTCAGTAGCTATGTGATTCTCCACCACCCATCCTGTGACCTTAAAGAAGATTTGTTATGAAATAGTGAGCCATGCTGGATGACTCCAATTAAAAACAGTAGTATATCTAAAAAGTAGTATATCTAAAAAGCACCAAATTTAGGGAATTTTGCCATGTTAGAGTTGTACTCTAAATATTATGCCACTCTGTAGGGCTTGTGGCTACATCTCTTGCTCAGGCAAAGCTGGGCTGAGAGGAATTTTTCTTGCTCAGGAAGTGTAGGTCAGGTCTTATATCTTAGAGTGTTTTGCCCTGACTGGATGGTCCTCTGTCATTTTGTCTGGTCTCCACCACCCTTGGTTCTTTTGTTATTATGCAATCAAAAATTCTTAAAAGCTCAAAGCAGTGATATCCTGTTAGTTTGTCACTGTGACAGTCTATCATGTGCTTCTATTTTTGTGAAAATCTAAATTAAAATCACTTACATTCATTTAACAAATATTTATTGAAGATAGGGTGATAGTGAACACCTGTAAGCCCAGCTCTCTGGGAGACTGTCACAGGAGGATCGCAAGTTTTAGCTCAACCTTCGCAATTTTCTGACTTAGAGACCCTTCTTCAAAATAAAAATAAAAGGTTGCAGAGGTAGCTCGGTATGAATGCCTGGATATTGTAACAAACATGTACATACAATAGCAGCAACAATAACATGCAAAACATAAAACAAACAAAAAATCCAAGTGCAAATAAATATTTACTGAGGGCCTACTGAATGCCTGGCATTATTCTTTGCTTTAATTCTCTGGGCTATTGATTTCACGTCTAAGGCAACGCTTGCCAAGCATTAGATTTGTTCACGTCTCTGACATTCTCAGAGTAGGTGTTTGCATATTCCACATTAAGACGTCTGGCTGGTAAACTAAGGCATATAACTTTTTAATGTGATAGTGCATCTTAATTGACTTCTGTTTTTCCCTTGAAATTTGATCGCAAGCACAGTTGTAATTTGCTTATTTGTAGTGTTATGGCTCCTGGACTTCTTCTTCTGGATAAGCAAGATAATGAGGTTTGATATCTTTTTTAATATGAGGGATGGTGGAAAGGTAATATAATTGAATATTGGGCACATGCTCCAGTTCCAGTGAATACTTTTATCAAAAATATATTTTTATTTATCTTTAGAAATGTGTTAATCTTCTAATATTGTTCTTTCTCAACTAGTAATAATTTTAGGTTTGATTTCTACAGGGAGTTAACATAAAAGTGATACTCCTTTAAGAGCAGAAGATAATCTTCCCCTGAGTGAGGGCCAGCTCAGGTAGACAGCAGCAGTGGGACCTTGGCTTTCTGCAGCGCTACGTCCCTAAGAGACCCTTCTAAAACCAGCACACAGATTATCGCTTGCTCATTGCAAGGGACACTCTTTGTCTGAGCACTTGCTCTATGGTCATTTTGCCTTTTTAAAAATATACACTTAAAATGTTAATATGTTGCATATATATCCTTTCCGTCAGGTTTACCCACAGGCATTCCCTTAAAAATCATGGTCAAGAGATATATTGCGTACTTTAATAAAGATAAAGGTCATGGTTTAGTTCTTAAATTCACCATCAAACACTGATGATTATGCGCTTAGTGCTTAAGGCGTAACTGCTTTTCTTCCATCATTTTATAATTTAAATGACTTATATTTCATGAACTCTAACAAAGTGGCTTAGAGGGTGGACTTCAGAGCCAGACAGTGTGTGTGAGGCAGCCCTGACTTTGTCCTGGCCCCGACACCCCTCTCTCCCTTTGGTTTTCTTTGTAAAATGGCAGTAATGATGGCAACCTGCTTCGGAGCATTTTCAGTGAGTTAATTTATAGAGAGCTTTTCCAGTAGCACCTGGCAGGGAGTGTCAGAAAATGGTGGTGGTTATATTGATAACTAATGGCAAATATTCACTTCAAAAGAGTAGGAGGGCTGGGGTGTGTGTATCTGTAGTAGACCAGAGGCTGTAGCATGCTTGAGGCTGTGGGTTTGATTCTCAGCAAAACATATACAGAGCAGAAACAACATTAACAGTAGTCACTTCAGCAGGTTTTCTAGGCTTCAGAAAGCAGTGAGATGTCAGCATGACACAGGGGAAGTCGCCCTGAGCTGGAACTGTAAGGCAGGCATGGAGATTCTGGTGAGATTTCAGCGGTATAACCTTGGCAAGTAGGAACCACTTCTGGTCTCAGGTTCCTTATCCAGCAAAGCAGGAAGGATTAGACTTGATGATCTCTGTGACCCTCTCAGTGTTAGCCTTCTATGTGGTCATGGAATTTGAAAGTGAGGAAAGCATTTGCCAATTCAGCTTTCCTGTCTGGTCAACACTGCCAGGAATGTTCAACCTACAGGGTCAGTACTGTGCAGGAGGCAGTTGTAAGCTTTTGAAGGAATGATGTACCCTGATTTTTACCGGCATTGTCTTATCACACCTTCATTACCAGTCAAGTTATCTTTCTGGACTTAGTCCAGGGAGATTTAGGATGCGAAGGTCTAGATCCCATGTAGATGGGTCAGATAACTCTCCTTGTCCTTTCCTTGAGAGTTCACAGGTGGAAAAGAGGTACTATAGTTTTGGAAAAAAAAAAAAAAACAATCATACACAGGCTGATTGTTTCTTAGTACCACGATGAAAATAAATTCTGGGGCAAAAGAAGTCTCCTTAGGGTCTTAAAGCATCAGGTGAGGACCAAAAGGTTTGCACTGGGCCATGTGGTTTGGACAAAG